TCTCTTAGGGGACTAAGCTAAAAAAAATTAAAATTAAGAGGTAAACTGCAAATCTAACTATACGTTAGGGATAACTTTTGTGATTAACCCTTATGTATGCAACAATTTTTCATAAATTTGATTTTAGCAAACTCCAAAGGCGCTTACTTTTCAACCATCATTCTTGCCTTAAATCAAAGACAGCAAGAAAAATGCCCGAAGATTGAGGTGGCTAACGTCAGTGTATTGTGCAGGGCAGTAGGTCGGGGAATGAGCCATTAGAAAAGGCAGTGTAACTAGATTGCTCTTTAAATTTGCAGAAAGCCAGAAGATGAATTTAAACAATGTCAGCATTGGAGGTCTTTGTATCTCAGTTTTTGGACAAAAGGGATGTTTTATTAAGCATCAATGGCATAATACAGGTTAGCCAATTGGGCTAACATCGGCCAATGGCCAAGGCTTTCATCAGTCAACCGCCAGGGAAAATCTTTCATCTTTTCAGGAGAAACTCTAAGGCGTTCAAGAGACCATGGATAATGGAAGGCAAGAACAGCAGCTGTAACGGACAATGGGGGATGGCACGGCTTCTTTGGACACAAAAAATTTGGTGGTTCCAATTACTCTAATGGTAATCAGATCACCATTTCCTTCAAATTCCTGATTGAGCATAGATAAGGTTTTTGGTATTCGCCTAAAAAAAAGGGTTTTGGTGTTTCGAGATCTGATTTGAATAATTGTGCATTAGTATTTGATGATGGAAGATAATGACTTTCCTCTGTCTTCTGTGTACAATGCCAGGGGCTAGATATCATTTGCTGAACCGCTAGCTGAGATTAGAAGCTTGTTGGACCGTTATTTGGAAAATGTTGCTGAAGGAAATTAAACAATAATTTATGACTCAACAAGAAATTTCACAAGTGGTATCAGAGCTCTATGTTCAAGGGTTTGATCCTGTGATATCTATGGTGTTTGAAGAGAGTGCAAAATTTTTTGATAGAGAAACCTATACCATAAAAAGGTATAGAGGTTGTGGTAGAATACTCATATATTGAAAAATTGGACCACGAGAGTTGGTCTTGAAATACTCGTTTGTTTATTGGAATTAGGGAAAGACCCTAATTGGATAGAGGTCTAAAAATAGGGATTCTATTGTGATTATTGATGTTATGCAGTGATCGAAAGGAAAAAAAAAGGTCCTGCCAAATTGTTGATTATCACAGTGAAGTTTGATCAAATTTGAAGCCAGGGAGGTCAGGAAATTCAAGGAAGAAAAAAATATTTGTCAAGGTATGCAAATTATTTTGAATTGTTATGGATAGAGAATTTATGAATGGTGAAAAATTCAAAGTTTATGCACACTTAGTGGTGATAAAGAAGGATTTGAATGGTCAAGAATAATGCACAAATATCTTAGGAAGTGTGGTTTGAGTGAATTTCTTGAGATCAATTTAAATAGTGGTCAATCAAAAGAAATTCAGAAAAGGAGGGCCAGATTATTTTTTCAAAATAATGCAAAAATCAATGGTTAGTATTATAAAAGGCTTATAATCTCTACTCAATCACCTCAATGGTTTTGGTCAGATCTCTTTTATATTTTGATGATAGAATTTTCATATGAATCTAATTCTAAGTCAAAATTTGGTTTGGAATGGGAAGTTAATTTGGAAGAGAATGTATTTGTTGATGATAACGAGATTTTTGAAATTTTTGATATGGTTGAAAATTATGATTTGCATGCTTTATTTTGGGTGATTGATGAAGAAGAAATTTGTGATGAGGAAGAAGTAAAAAAAAAAGTTTTTGATGAGGCAAATAAAGAAGAAATTGTGGGTGCACATGAAAATAAAGAATTTGTGACTCAAAAAGAAATCTCATGTGTGGTTGAGAAAGAATGTGAAATCATTAGTCAAATTAAAGATGTGATTGAAAATCGTGATGATATAGAAATTGTTGAATTTATCGAGGTTGGTGAATTTTTTGAAGAGAAAAATCATGTGATGGGATTGGTTGAAATCAATTGTGGAGTGGACAAATTAATTGAAGGTTGTGGTGCAGTTAAAGTTGATGCGATTATTAATGTGGAAAAAGTAAAGGAAAAATATGGTGATGTTGGAAATCTCAGTAGTGGAAATTATGATTTTATGGTGTTGGGCAATTTTCTTGGTGATATGGATGAATTAAATTATGGAGAATTGGATGAAGAATGGGTAAATATGTTTGAATTTTTTGACAAAAGAGATCGTGCCAAGAAATTGTTCGACAAGTATCAGTTTCGTTCACTACCATGCGTGAAGATGAAAATGGAGATCAATTACAAGTTGGAGTTCCATGTCATCTATATAGCAACAGAGTTATTCATGAAAATTCAAGCTCGGGATGATATTGGAGATGACAAAATCAAGAGTTTGGTTTAAGGGAGGCAATAAAGGAAATTAAACCAAGCTATTTTAGGATTTAGTTTCTCAATTCTTTTTGGTGTCTTATTTGTTTAGTTTTTATATTAGATTAGGAAATTTCAAGTTAGTTTGCAAGTAAGTTTTGGTTTACAATTATAGTTGTTTTAGGAAATTTTACAGTCTATAAATACTACTAGTCTACTAGGTTATTATTTGAAGAATTGAGTTGAGTCTAGAGAGTGGATTTGAGAGCAAATCTCATAATTGAGATTTGTGAGTTGTTGTGAGCAAAAGGCTACAACGTATTTGTTAGTGTTGATATTTGAGTTTTGGATTGATAAAATTATTGAGGATTTGTTGTGTGTTTGTTCTCTTCCTCTTCCCACATATTTTTATATGTGTTAGAATTGCTTCCGCTATGCATGCACAATTTTTTGTGTGTTAACAATTGCTTTGCCACGTTTTGTACTCCGCTAATGGACGGTAGTATTCCTATGTACTAAAAAGATAAAAATCAAAGTAAGATGACTTCATCTAATACGTAGCTAGAGGTGCTTTTGAGTCGAGTTTAAACTTGACTCGAGTTATAACACATGAGTTCGACCTTGAACTTGAGCACAATGAGCTTTTAGAAGTTGAGCTCAAACCTGAGTTTGATTTCAATTTACCTTACTCGAACTTGAGTTTCAATTCAACTAAACCTAATCAAGTCTAATTGAGTTCAATCAAATCTATGTGAGCCTAATCGAGCTCACTTAATAAAAATAAATATTTTATATAGAATTTTAAATAAAGAATATAAACAAACATTTACATTAGAAGTTCAATTAGGCTCATCGAGCCTTTGAGGTATCGAGCAATTTGAACTTGATAGGGTATCATTTGTTAGTAATTTTATTATTAATTTTCCCTTTTATCCTTGCCAATTATTGTATTAATTGTTGATATCTACTCATATTTGGTATCTGGATTTAATTTCAGGGAATGAAGCAGAAAACTACCAAAAAGGAGGGACTTTTTGTAGAAAATGGAGACTTCTAAGGGCTTCAATCCTTGGGCCCTTGAATTGGCGGGGACCACAAAGCTATAGTCATTTTGGGCTCTTCAAAGAAAGGAACGTACAGAGACTTGGAACAAGAAGTAATTTGGAGGCTTTGTCCACATGTGTGGGGACCACCGGAGATAGCCTTTAGTCATCTTTCTTTTGGCTTTTTAAGGGGAGAACGTACGGAGCAAAAGGACGGCTCTAGTTTAGCTTTTAGGATAGTTTTAGTTTTCCTTTCTTCTGACTGGCCTCTGACACACGCCAGGTGTTCGACAATATTCCCCAACGGGAAAAACATCTTTTATTCCTAGCTTTCTAGTAAAAACGCAATGCCTTTGCAATCAATTAATTCGTGTGGTGATTTAATTATGCAGCGTGGCTAAGCCTTCCATCTAGTCAAGGGTCAACTCGACGGCGCAGTCCCGAAAATCTGTGAGATCTAATTAGTTTTCACGCGTTCTTTAATTTATTAATATTTGCACGTTGTCTGCTTGAATTTTCATGGGATTATTTTATTAATTGGATGTCAAGGGCCCGATGTTCAATGTGATTTATTAATCTCGTGCCAATTTAGTCAATTAAATCCGTAATTGTTTGATTGATTAATATTAGTGGCAACTGGTGTGTTTACACATTAGGGGAATGTGCAATCTAATTTAAATAACCATTGTAGCGTGTTATTGATTAGGGCTAGGTTTTTCTAGTTATTAATGTAATTGAAAAATTAATTCCTACGGTCGTACCTAGGAGTATTTTCTGGTTAGAGGTGATCAATGGTCGTACCTTGGTCATCTATAAATTAAGGAAAAATTGGTCGTTAGAGTTCATCGGCGACTATAACTAACCTATTAATAAATTAAGTGAACCTCTCTTGCATCAATGATCGGATAAATGGACTGTGTCTGGGTAGTTGCATCCTTGGCTATAATTTATTTATTCTTGATTTAATTCCTGCAATATTTGTGCTAGTTAATTATTCATTTTTAGTTAAATTGTTAAATTGTTTTTAGTTTCATTCCGGTGAAATCCCCCTTACCAATTGGAATTTAAAAGAGACAAATGTCTCCAGTCCCTGAGGAGACGACCCTACTTGCCACTGTCTACTTTTCAGTGATTTTTGTCACCTAATTAATTCTGGTATATCGGATTAAGCAAATTCTTCGGGAACAAAGTGAATCAAGTAACCCATTGTACACCTAGAGTCCCTGCTCCAGTACCTAGGATTAATTATTGACTGCTTTTAGTGGTATTTAGGATTCTATTATTATTATTGCACAGGATCGACGACCTGTCAATTTTTGTCGCCGTTGCCGGGGACTGGCGTCAATTATTTGTTTCTTTTCAATTTCAATTTTGTTCTAATTTTCTGGTATTTTTTCTAGTTTATGCCTCGTTCTTCTCGTACAGGCGAATGAATTTTCGATCCTGAAGTAGAGAAAATCGCACGTAGAACGAGGAAAGAAACCAGACAACTCAGAGAGACGCACTCCAGTGCCGCATCTCAGAGATCTGAGCCAGAAACTGAACTAGCAGATTCATTTGGTGACACTTCGAGCGACTCGGAACAAGAGGAAATCACCATGGCAAATGCACAAACACTAAGGGAGTTGGCTGCGCCTAATTTAAATCAGCAACCTTTGTGCATTACTTTTCCAAGTTTAAATGATAACACATCTTTTGAGTTGAAATTTGGCCTAATTCACCTCTTACCATCTTTTCATGGTTTACCAGGTGAGGAGCCCTATAAGCACTTGCAGGAGTTCGATGTCGTATGCAATAGTATGAAACCCCCGGGAATCACCGAGGAGCAGATAAAAATGAGGGCCTTCCCCTTCTCTTTGAAGGACTCTTTGAATGACTGGCTGTACTACCTACCACCGGGTAGTATCACCACATGGGACCAACTAAAGAAAAAATTCCTGGACAAGTACTTTCCAGCGTCCCGAGATACAAGCCTGAGGAAGGAGATATGCGGCATCAGACAACACCCAGGCGAGTCCCTCTATAAATACTGGGAGAGGTTTAAGAAACTATGTATCAAATGCCCTCAGCATCAGATAAGTGAGCAACTGCTCATTCAATATTTCTACGAGGGGCTACTTTTTAGAGACAGGAGTATAATCGATACTGCAAGTGGAGGGGCGTTAGTGAACAAGACTCCTCGGGCAGCATGGGAATTGATAGAGGGGATGGCTGAAAATTCGCAGCAGTTTGGCACTAGGGAGGATGTCCCAACACATAAGGTGAATGAGGTGGAAACATCCTCCATCCAACAACAAATTTCTGAATTGACATCCTTCGTGCGGCAGCTAGCTGTGGGTAGTGCCTTACAAGCCAAAGTGTGTGGGGTATGTGCTGCTTTGGGTTATTCTACAGAGATGTGTCCACTAGTTCAAGAAGAAAATGCAGAGCAGGTGAACATGGCTGGCCACGCGCCTGCGCCAAGAAGGCAGTACGACCCGTACTCAAGTACCTACAATCTTGGTTGGAGGGACCACCCCAACCTGAGTTATGGGGGGAACAAGCCGTCTAATTTCATGCCAAATAGACAATAAAAGCATCAACAGCAATACCAGCCTCGCCCACCACCACCCCCTTCAAACTCAAGTCCGTCCCTAGAAGAGATGATGAAGCAACTACTTGCAAATCAACAGAAGACGGATTCAGACTTATAAGCTATGAAAAATCAGTGGGGACAAGTGCAATCATTGCAAACTCAGGTAAATCAAATGGCCATCACGCTCAATCGGTTGGAGTCCCAAATGCAAGGAAAACTGTCATCTCAACCTGAATTGAACCTGAAGAATGTGAGCGCTATGACCTTGAGAAATGGCAAGGAGGTCCAAGGACCCGACCCGTTGATTTCTAAGGACAAGGACGAAGATCAAATTGAGAAAGAGCTGGAAGAGGAGGGCGGAGATAATAAAAATTCAAAGGTAATTCCGGACCCACCCATTCCAGTTAGAACCAACCCACCTCCCTTCCCAAGCAGATTGGAGAAACCAAGGAAGCAGGACAAGGAGAAAGAGGTCCTGGAGATCTTTTGCAAGGTGGAGATCAATATTCCCCTTCTAGATGCGATTAAACAGGTACTCAGATACGTAAAATTTTTGAGGGACTTGTGTGTCAACCGAAGGCAATTGAAGGGAGATGAGAGAGTGGTAGTAGGGGAAATGTGTCAGCAATTCTGCAACGAAAGCTTCCACCGAAATGCGGGGACCCAGGTATGTTCACTATTCCTTGTAGGATAGGCAATACCTTGATTGGAAGGGTTATGTTAGATCTAGGAGCCTCAATTAACGTGATGCCCAAGTCTATATATGCTTCTTTGAATTTAGGTCCTTTAAGAGAGACTGGGATAATAATCCAACTGGCTGACCGAACTAATGCATACCCTGATGGGTTGATTGATGATGTTTTAGTGAAAATTAATGAATTGATTTTTCCTGCTAATTTTTACGTGCTTGATATGGATGATGAATACTCTCACGACCCATCACCTTTACTGTTAGGTAGACTCATCTTGAGTACAGCTCGAACTAAAATTGATGTTAATAAGGGCACCCTATCTATGGAATTTGATGGTGAGATTGTTCATTTTAACATTTTCGAATCCATGAAATATCCTTCAGAATCACATGCTGGCTCTGTTTTCTCTATAAATGTTATTGACCCTGCTGTACGAGAAGTTTTTGAAATTGAAGGCAGGGATGAGTTGGAGGTCACCTTGACCAGGCACTTCGAGTCAGAGATGACGTCTGGAGTAGAGTTGAGTGAAGAACTCAAACGTGTGATTGGAGCGTTACAAACGTTGCCAACCACAAAAATAAGGTATGATCTCGTACCCATTTTTATACCTGAACCTCACCAAAGGCTACTTCCATATGTGGTGCAGGCGTCTGTCTTAGAGTTGAAACCGTTGCCAAAACACCTAAAGTATGCGTACTTGGGTGAAGGGGAGACACTCCCAGTGATTATCTCCGCCAGTTTATCAAAAGTCCAAGAAGACAAATTGATTCGGGTTTTGAGGGACCATAAGCAGGCAATAGGATGGACCATCGCCGACATCAAGGGAATTAGCCCAGTGGTATGTATGCATCGAATTCGACTCGAGGAGGGTGCTAAACCTATTCGGCAGGCTCAAAGGAGACTGAATCCCCTTATGATGGAAGTAGTAAAGAAAGAGATCCTAAAACTGTTGGATGTGGGGATAATCTTTGATATATCAGATAGCCCCTGGGTGAATCCAATACAGGTGGTTCCGAAGAAGGCATGGGTGACGGTAGAGTCAAATCAAGAGGGTGAGCTTGTACCAGTTCGGAAGCCCACCCGGTGGCGGCAGTGTATAGAGTATAGGAAATTGAACGCAGTCACGAAAAATGATCATTTTCCCCTTCCTTTCATTGATCAAATGGTAGAGCGATTAGCAGGTCGAGCTTACTATTGTTTTTTGGATGAATTTTCAGGTTATTTTCAAATTGCTATCGCACCTGAGGACCAGGATAAAACTACCTTCACGTGCCCGTTTGGAACATTTGCATACCGGAGGATGCCATTTGGGCTATGCAATGCACCTGCTACCTTCCAACGATGCATGATAAGTATCTTTTCAGAATATGTTGAGAAGATTATTGAGATTTTTATGGATGATTTCAGTGTGTATGGGAAAAGTTTCGATAACTGCCTAGATAACCTGAAATTAATTTTGGTTAGGTGTATAGAAACTAATCTTGTGCTCAATTGGAAAAAATGCCATTTTATGGTCGAGTACGGGATAGTTTTTGGTCATATAGTATCATCTAAGGGTATTGAGGTTGATAAAGCGAAAATAGATGTTATATCTACTTTACCTTACCCTGCGAGTGTGCGGGAAGTGCGTTCTTTCTTGGGTCATGCAGGTTTCTACAGAAGATTTATCAAAGATTTCTCGAAAATTGGAGCACCCATGTTCCAACTTTTGCAAAAAGAGGTACCCTTCGAGTTCGATGAAGCATGTAAGAGGGCGTTCAATAGGTTGAAGGAGCTATTGATCTCCGCACCTATTATCCAACCACCCGACTGGGACCCACAATTCGAGATCATGTGCGACACTAGCGATTATGCAGTGGGCGCGGTGCTGGGTCAAAGAGTGGGGAAGACAGCCCATACTATCTACTACACATCTCGAGTCTTGAACGGAGCTCAGTTGAACTATTCGACCACCGAAAAGGAGCTTTTAGCTGTAATTTTTGCTTTAGAGAAATTTCGGTCCTATTTACTTGGTGCTAAAGTTGTTATTTTCTCTGATCATGCAGCTTTGCGGTATCTGTTGACCAAAAAAGAGGCAAAACGGCGACTTATAAGATGGATACTGTTGCTTCAAGAGTTTGACCTGGAGATCAGAGACAAGAAAGGAGCCGAAAATCTGGTAGCAGATCATTTGAGTCGAGTACAAGTCATCAAGGACGACCTCCCACTGAGAGAAATATTCCCCAATGAGCACTTATTTTCTGTTAATTTATCCCTGTCTTGGTATGCAGATATTGTTAATTTTCTAGTCACTGACAAGTTTCCTGCAGGATGGCCTAAGGCAAAAGGGACAAGTTAAGGAGTGACGCAAAGTCTGACATCTGGGATGACCCTTACCTCTGGAAGCGTGGTGCCGACCAAATCATTCGTAGATGTGTAAGTGAGAATGAATTCCAATCTATTTTAGCTTATTGTCACTCTTTTGCATGTGGAGATCACTTTGGACCAAAGAGGACGACTCGTAAGGTTCTAGAGAGTAGATTTTATTGGCCGACCCTCTTTAAGGATGCCTACTCATTTTGTAAGTCATGTGATAAGTGCCAACGAGTAGATAATATTTCTCGTAGAGATCAAATGACTCAAACCCCAATGATTTTTGTTGAGATTTTTGACGTTTGGGGTATTGACTTTATGGGCTCTTTTCCTCCGTCTTATTGTTTTCTAGATATATTGCTTGCCGTAGACTATGTTTTAAAATGGGTGGAAGCAAAATCCACCCGTACTAATAATTCCAAAGTGGTTGCAAAATTTGTCAAATCTAACATTTTTGTCCGCTTTGGGATGTCACGAGCAATTGTAAGCGATCGAGATTCCCATTTTTGCAACAGAACGATTGCTACACTTTTTAGGAGATACGGTGTCTTGCACAAAGTCTCCACTTCTTACCATCCTCAGACAAACGGTCAGGCGGAAGCATCAAATCGAGAGATCAAGTCGATTTTGGAGAAGATGGTTCGACCCGATAGGAAGGATTGGAGTATGAGACTTGAAGATGCCTTATGGGCATATAGAACGGTGTACAAGATGCCAATCGACATGTCCCCTTATCGTTTGGTATTTGGAAAGCCATGTCATCTCCCCGTCGAGTTCGAGCATAGAGTATTTTGAGCAGTCAAACAATGCAACATGGATGTTGACGAGGGCGGAATTCAAAGAAAATTGCAATTACAAGAATTGGAGGAGATTCGAAACGAAGCCTACGAGAATGCTGTGATTTATAAGGAGAAGAATAAGATATTTCATGACCAGCAGGTCTCTAGGAAGACGTTTGAATGTGGGCAGAAAGTTCTGCTGTACCACTCAAAATTGAAATTATTTCCAGGTAAGTTACGTTCTCGTTGGATCGGTCCCTTCGTTGTAACTAATGTCTTTGATTATGGTGCAGTGGAGATTCAGAATTTAAGGACGGAGAAGAAATTTGTGGTGAATGGTCATCGTCTCAAACCATATTATGATGGGGCTCCAGTTGAACGGGTAGGGACGATGCCTTTGGAGGATCCGATTTGCTTGGTTTAAGCAAATTATGGGTTATGTCTAGCCAAAGACACTAAAGAAAGGCGCTAGTTTGGGAGGCAACCCGAATATTAGTCTTATTATTTTTTGTTGTTCATTTCTTTTGTTTTCTCGTTTTCTCGTTGGATAGTATCAATATTAATATTTCCTCCACTGTGATCAAGAAGTGAAATCTTGGAGTGCCCACGCGGTGTTTGTGTTTCTTGAGATCAGAGGACGAAGACCAATCTTTGCGTGCCCACGCGGTGTTTGTGTCTCCTGAGGTCAGATGATGTTTTGTGATCTTGGCATGTTCATGCGGTGTTTGACGACCCAAACCATGAGTTAAAAAAAAAAGAAAAAAAAATTATTATTATTATTATTATTATTATTATTACTTTCATTAAAAGAAAAAGAAAAGATTATTTTCTTTCTAAACCCTAAAAAAAAATAATAATAAATAAATAAATAAAATTAAAATTTAGAAAAAAATTAAAAAAAAATTTTTAAAGCAATTTCCAATTTGGACGATTTACGTTAGAATAATTTTTGTAAAAAAAAAATTTCCCTTTTCTCTTTTCTTCATTTTCTTTTTTTTTCTTTTCTTTTCTTTCTTTCTTTCTTTCTCTCTTCTTCCCCGCTGCCCCTGTTTTCCCCTTTTCCTTCTTTTCCTTCGTTCGTTCCCCGCCGCTGCTAGCTCCTCTTCCAAAGCTCGCGGCCACCACCATCAACTCGTCACCGTGCGCACGAAGCTCCGACCACCGCCTCCCCACCA